GCGACTGATTCAGGCAATGAGTTTTGGAGTGAGATGGACATGGTGGCTCTGCCTGTGCCCTATCTGTGTGGCCCTTGGGCAAGAGATTTACCTCAGTTTCCTCATCGATGAAAAGGGAATAATATGAACTACTCTATAGAGTTGAGAGGGTTAAAGTGAGATCACATGTGGAATTGCTTGGCACAGAGTCAGATCCCAGTCCAGTGGGAACTCAGGCAATGGTAGTAGTTTATTTTATTACGACTTGTATTATCTGGACGACTCTTTGCACAGCACTTTATATTGGCTCATTGGATCTCATGTGAGCTCTGTGAGGTGGGTCAGGGAACCCAGATGGGTTTTGTTCTGTTATGCAGCTAGCCCTGTGGGTGGCAGCACTGAACAAAGAAGACTAAGATCTCTACCGCTCATGGAGCTACTGAATGAGGGGAGAGTGATGATAGATACAGTTAAATGGACCCATGTTGGCTGCATGCTAAAGGCCTTTACAAATATTAACCAAACCTATGAAGAGGGTATCCCATTTTACAGATGAGGATACTGAGGCACAAGGGAAGTGGAAGTCTCTTGCCCAAGGCCTTATGACTTGGAAAAGCTGGATTCAGGATTCAAAGCCAGACAGTGTGACTCTAAAGTCCTTGCCTTTAATCATTACTGTATGTTGTCTCTCAATATATATATATATGTATATTTATACGTGCAATAAATCAGGGTTAATAAATGCAGTGGAAAAAATGAAGCAGAGTAAAGTGGGAAGAAGATGATGGGGCAGCACTACCTATGCAGGGAGGTCAGAGAAGGCCTCTCAGACTCCTGAAGGAGCAAGGGGAGACAGGTATTATTCGGGGAAGAACAACCCAGGCCCAGGGCATGGAAGCTGGAGGCAGGCCCATAGGGAGGCTCCTGTTGGAAAAACAGGGTGAGCAAAAGGTAAGAGGCAGAGAGTGAAAGACGGCTCAGGCTGAGCCCTGGAAGGATGCAATTGCCTTTCACTCAGATGTAAAGATTATGGGCGGTACAGGTTTATGGGAAAAGGTCAGGCATTCAGTTTGACATAGTTCTCACCATCCCCCATCAAATAGGAGTTCCAAGTTCTTTCTCCATAAATTACCCCCAGAATGGTTGCTTTCCCATTGTGACCAGTATATATTCCCAGGCCAGACATTTCCTTCCCCCAGTCCCAAACTTGCTCAGCCTGCACTGGGATTCCAAGAAGCCAACCTGAGACAGGATTCGTGCACCTGAATGACTTCTTCGGGAAGGACTCCCAGGAGGAATGTGCTGAGGAGTGGAAGGAATTGGATGAAGAAGACAAAAAGTGGAACAAGGGTGTAACTCAGACCAGTGTCCCCAGCTTCAGTCCAATCAGGCATGAGAATGTTGGATAAGTTACCTCTGGGAGATTGTCCAACTCAGGGGAAGGGAGCTGACCTTCCATACTTTTGCACCAATTGGTCACTGACTTAGGCTGGGGAAGTGAAGTCCTGGGCACTTCCTTGCACGGGCAAAGGGAGCTCAATAGCAGGAGTGTAGGCTGACACTATCCACTGCATGTGCCTTTCCCAACTCAGGAAATGGTATTGCCATCCTGCTGGTTGCCCAGGACCCAAACCCTGGAGTCATCCTTGACTCTTTCTGTCTTTCACACCCTATATCCAATCCTTTAGCCAATCTTGTTGGCAATTCCTTTAAAATATACCCAGTCTGACCATTTATTTTAGTAACCTTTTAGAAATTGTGGTAAAATACATAGTTTGGTAGCAGTAAATACATTCACACTGTTGTGTAGCTATACCACCATCTGTCCAACAGAACTCTTTTCACCTTGCAAAACTGAAACTCTGTGCCTATTAAACATATTGTTTATCCATTCATCTGTTGATGGACACTTGGGTTACTTCCACCTTTTCGCTATTGCAAATAATGGTACTATAAACATGGATGTACAAATACCTGTTTTGAGTCCCTGCTCTAATTCTTTTGGGTATATACCCAGAAATGGAATTGCTAAATCACACAGCAATTTTATTTTTAACTTTTTTAGTAATTGCCATACTGTTTTTCCATAGTGGCTACACCACTTTATATTCCCACCGGTGGTGCAGGAGGGTTCCCTTTTCTCCACATCCTTGCCAGCACTTGTTATTTGCTTTTTCTTTTTTAGTCTGATCACTTCTTCCCCTTCCAGAATGACCACCCTGAACCAAGGTATTTCAGTATAGTCTTGGATTACTACATTAGAATCCCACCTGACCTCCTTTCTTCTGCCTGCACCCCCTGTAGTCTCAACACACGCCTCTGTTTTCAGACTCTAGTGCCCTCCTCCTTCCCACTGAGAGTAAAAGCCAAAGTTCTTACAACAGCCTGTGATGCTCTCCAAGATTTGCTCCCCACCCTCCCAGCTCTGCCTCATTTCCTTCTTTGCTCTCTCTACTCCAGCCATATTGCCTTTTTTTTTCATCCCAAATAATCTAATGCCTCAGGGGACTTTGCCCTATTTTCTTTGCCTGAAATACTCTTTCTTCAGAGATCTTTAGCATAATTTGCTCCTTCACTTCCTTTAGGTTTTCTTCAAATGTCTGTTTCTCAGTGAGGCCTCTGGGCTTTCCCAATTGCTCATCCACCCCTCATTTCTTTTCTGCCTTTCTCCACTCTGCCCTGTGCTTGGGGAGACTGACCCTTGCAGACCCCACCACCTGGGCTTTCTTGGCCCTTCGGTTTCTGGGTGAGGGGAGGCACTGCCAGGAGATTGAAAGTAAAAGGAGAGATATTGGAGTATTTTTTCCTTCCTCTGCTCTCCCTGCTATGCAGGCAGCGGAGTGGCCTTCCTGGACCACAGCTGCATTTGGGACAGGTGGCCTCTACTCTCCAGCCTCACCCCCCCCCCACCTGCTGCCCTCCAGTGACACAATTTCTATCCTTTGCCCTTCAGTCCTCAAAACTGTAATGGCCTTCTGCTGTCGCTGTTCTCCGGTGCCTCCACACCCCTGCTGGTTCTCTGAACCCTGCCTGCTCCTCTGGCCCCTTCACTAAGGCTTGAACCACCAGGGCTGCGTTCTGTCTCCTGCTAAACCCTGACTGAAGAACCTTCCAGATCACTAGTTTACAATTTCCAGCCCTACCTTCGTGTCCTGAATTGGCACTTCCCGTTCAGTGTTCTACGCAGCACATATTGTTTAACATAACATCTACTTATTTATTTTCCTCCTTCTGGGATGGAAGGTCTAAGGGTGCAGGTATGTTTGGTTTGTTCACTGTTACATGTCCAGTGCTCTGCACATAGCAGGTTATCAGCGAACATTTGTTAAGTGAGTCAATGAACGAATGAATGAACGACCGATAAGGGAAGCTAAGGAGAAACACAGCAGTGTGGTCCAAGTTGCAGGCAGAAGAGCTGACTCTAAATTCTCCCTCTCCCGCCGCCCCGCCCGGAATGCTGAGTGCCCTGGAAGGAGGCGGAAATGAGCGGGCTCTAAAGCCCTCCAGCGGGGTGTTTACTTAATTAGGGCCTGTGTCCTGAGGCTCGTCAGTGTTTAACTGTCTGCCTAATAGCTTCATCTGGTTCCGGGCGGGCGCGGGGAACCTGCTAGGCGAGGGTACGCTGGGCCCCTGGGTACCGTCTGGGTCCTGCGCTGCCACGTTGCGCTCTAACACAGACGTCTAACCCCGGGCAGGGACAGCGCCCCCTGCGAGAGGGCGAGGTAGGCGTGGAGGCCAGCGAGCTGCCTTCGGCTTTTCCTGCGCGTTGCGGGCGCTCCCCCGCCCTCCACCCCACCCCACTTGGGCCGGAAAACCGAGCGCTCCTGTGACACCAGATGCCGATTGCTCGCTTTGCCCTCAGCCGTGAAATTGAAGTGTTACAGCCTTTCTCCTTCTCTTAGTGTGGGGAACGTGAGGGTGCTACAGAGGAGAGAAACAGCTCTCGTAGCGAAGAGGGAGACAAATGAGCCGATCCTAAAGCACTAATACCAGACAACATTGGGCTCTTGTTCTGTGCCAGGTACTGAGTTCAGCGTTTTAGACATGTTAATTAATCCTCGACTATACGTATTAATTCATTTAATCCTAGTACTCTAGAGGGTAAATGGCTTAATAACCCATTAGATGCCTGCAGAAGTGAGGCCCAGAGAGGTTGCTTGACTCGCCCGAGGCCACAGCGCTAAGGGCCGGGACCGGGTTTGAACGCAACGGCTGCAGGGGCGATGCTCGGCTGGAGAGACGACTCCCACTGTCGCGGCGCAAGCAGTCCTCTTCTTAGCCATAGGCCTGGTGGTACTAAGGACAGGTAGACCACCATGTTAACCCTCGAGGGCTAAAGAATCTATGGTTAGAGACACCAGCCCCCCCTCCTCCGATGCCAAATCTGAGCTGTGAGGAGGAAGGAGAGGGACGAGCAGGTGTCAGCCTGGGCCTCTCAAGGCCGCCAGGGAAGCGGGGGAGGCCCCAGGGACCAAAAGGCTGCGAAAGCTCAGTTCATTTCACTCAGTCTGACGCAGAGCAACGAACCCCAGCTCCGCCTCCTGTCTTCCAGGAAGGATGTAGATCTGTTTTCGAAGGCAAGGCTGCTTTGTGTAGCAAGTAGTTTTTACTTAGATTATATTCGGTATTTCAGACAATTGAGAACAGCCGCGTTTTAAAAATGCCTTTATTTACATTTTACGTAAGGTTGAGAAAGTTAATTATTTCTGTGGGCGGGGCCGGGGGGGCTTCTGCTGGAGATGATTGGGCTAATAACCACCCTCTACTCTACCTAGCCCTTTGGCGCCACCACGGCGTCGGAACTCTGGGACCTTCTCTCCTGCCCCTCGTTTGTTAGGCTGTGCAAGGGAAGTAATGAGCCTTCCACAAGTTGCAGCAGGTTCCGTAACGCGGTCCCTCCGGACCTCGCTGCCAGATTTAAATCCTCAGAGCCCTGAGAGCAGGCTGGTGTGGGAGGCTGAGAAAGAGGCAGGAGGCAGCCCCTCCGTAGGCTGGTGTGGGGCGGACACACCCGGCCTCCATCAAAACTTTGGATAACAGAGCGCCTCGGAGGAGCCCGCACGAGCGCCTGTTCCAGTCGGGTTCAGATGCGTCTCCACTTTTTTCCACCGTAGCCTCAGGGCACAGAAACATTTTTCTTCGCGTGCTGCGGAGGCTGAAGAGTGGGGTGTTTTGTTTTTTTTCCCCTCGAACCCACAACCTAGGAGAAAAGAGCCTGGGACCCTGCCAGGAACAGCCCCAAACAAGCCGAAAGAAGGCAGGAGAGCACCGACGACAGGAGGGGCTTCGCGGTTGCTTCCACCACGCCAGCAGCGGCCCCACCTGCGAGGGGGCGGGACCTTGCGGCGCTAGACCAATCAGCACCTATGTGCGCTCACCTGGCTCGCTCCCGCTGGCTCCCGCGAGCCGCGGCGCTCAAAGGGGTGCAGAGAGCTTCACGAAGCCCCAGTCCGCTATCCCGGCAGCTTTTCCACCCTTCCCTCTGCAGTTATGGGGCTTCTTAGCAGGCCTCTAGTGTGCCTCCTCCTTCAGGTACTCCACTGCCTTGCCCTCGGCCTGGCCGGGCCGCTCCCTGGAGGGCGGGCGGGGTCCGCACGCTGTGGTGGCGTCGGAGAGAGCGCAGGGCTGAGCTTCTTGGGCCAAGGTAGCCCGGGAAGCTCCCTAAGGAATCCTGGGATGGCGATGCAGGGCCGGGCACGCTTGTGACCCAGCCTCCCGCTTTTCCCCCTTCCCTCAGGCGCAGGTTTCCTGGCTGACTTGCGTGGCCTCCGAGCCGTGCCGGGCGGGCTTCGGGGAGGCCGAAGTGACCTTGGAAGCGGGAGGCGCGGAGCTGGAACCCGGCCAGGCTCCAGAGAAAGGTAAGACTCTACGCGAGCCCGCCCGGCGGAACCGCGGGGCAGCGGACTGCACGTGGTCCTCGCCAGTGTGGCCCGTGAGAGGGGTGTCCAGGTTGGGGCAGGGGACTTACGGCGCTGCTTCAGGTATGGGGGAGGCGAAGAAAGCATCTCCGGAGAGGGCACTGGGGTGGGTGGGCGGCTGACGGAGAAGGACGGAAAGCACAGCGCCCTCTGACGTCCAAGCCCTCCTTGCCCCGCTGCGGCGGCTTACCTTGAACCTTTTTCTTCGGTGTGCGGGGCGGCTGAGCTCCTCACGCAGCCCCTACGTGGAAGCTCTCCCCCGCTGGCCCCAGCGCTGGAATGCACGGTCCACATTCCACCCCCAACCCCCGCGCAGGTGTGGGGATGAACCGTGCCCCGGGCAACCCCCTTCGCCCCTCTTGGGCCCCCTTTGTGTACCGTGCTTTGTGTCTCTGACAGACAGACCGGGTCTGTTTCTCTTCTTCGCGCTCCCCGCCCCCGCCCCCCTTCTTCCCCGGCAGCTGGAATGCACTCTTAACCCTGCTCTTCCCGGTGGGCCTGCGCCCCTGCAGCCTGACTGGAAACGGCCCGCACACCTGGACTGGGGCCGTTACGCACTGGGGACACCCCAGCCCCCTCGGTGTCCTGGGACAGGAATGTTAGGGCACTTGGGGGAGTGTGTGTGTGTGGGGGGGGGGTCCCAAACCTGAAGGTCTTGAACTGCGGGGGTAGTGGATGGAAAATCAAAGCACATTTTGGGTCTCCCAATAATTTGTTTCCCTCTAGCTCTAGTTCAAACACTTGAGAGTGGGGGAACAGGGGTCACTGTGGTGCAGAGAACCAGTATGTTATGAGATTCAGGCAGCTGCCGGCTGATTGGAGCCTTGTATCCTTCCATCCAGGTTAGTGGGGGTTCCTCCACCAGATCAAACCCAAGTTCTTAAACAGAGGTGTAACCCAGGATCCTTGGGTGGGGTCCTAGAGGATCCTTAACCTGTTAAATTAAGAACTTGTGGATGAACTTTCCTGGGGAGGGGATACATAGTTGACCAGGCTCTGAAAACAGTTAAGAACATGTTTTCCTAATGCCGCCCCTCAGCATACCCCTCACCCCAGGTACAAATTTCCACAGCTTGAATGTGGAGGTGCCAATTCTTAGGGGGCAGAATAGCTCTCCTTTATTTCTCCAGAAGAGATTGGGAGCTTTAAGTCTGTGCCAGCCTTTTTTCTTCTTCTTTTCCCAAATAACTCTGCAGATTGACAAAACAATTAACACCCAGGCTAGGTTGGGCTCCTTAAACTCTTGGCTGTAGGGAGCCAGGGAGAGGCATTAAGAGGCCATGCCTCATAAACTTTAAATTCTTGCTCATGGGTTTATTACTGACCGGCTAACAAACTGCAACTCAGCCAACCTGTAAAAATGTTAACTTGGGCAGGGCCCCAAATCCAATTCCGGCTCCCTGAGGAAGCTTTATTGCTAACTAGACCTCTGCCAAAGCCATACCCTTCCCCCTCACTGTCAAGTTCTCAGACTGCAGGCTGTGAGCAGGCTATGGCTTTGAGTGTTGTCTGTGCCTTATCTTTCTTACTGAAGCAAGAAATATCAGATTAACTGTCACTTCACTAAGCTTGAGGTCATTGTGGGGAAGCGGTGATCAGGTTTTCCATTTCATGGTCCGTTTGGCGGGTGCTTCCCGGTGACGTCAGGCATTTTAAACCTGAGAAAATTCTGCTTTCTCGGATGTCTGGTTTATGGTTGTGAAAATGTGGGTTCATGCCAGGAGCACACCTGGGTTTTAAAACAAAGGGTGGGTTCATGTGCCTGGCTAACCTGAGTCTCCCTGCAACATGACTGGGTCTTACTGTGCAATAGGCTGCTGCCTTCTTTTTTAAGTAAAAGCAAGTTTCTGGGCCCAACTGGTCCCAATAATTTAGGATGCCCCAACAAAAAATATCGGTATTTCCCCCTTAGTCCCCAGCTGCTGACATCTTTCTACCTCCCCACTTCTGCCCCTGCTCCCCATCCTCAATACACAGAATGGATCCAGCCATGTTAAAAGGGCTCTCCTGAGGGTACGTACATACAAGGTTGGCCAAGTGGACAATAGTTTACCTATAGCTAAAGAACAATTGCCTGTGTTGTTCACCCCTAGGTTATGAATATCACAGATGTCTATGAAACTGAGCTCAAAGAAATGGTTTATATAATTAATACCTTGATTGTATGTGCACTTTCCTCTTCAAAGCACTTCCACAACCCTGAGCTTGCTTTGTCCTCCTGACATTCTCTTGAAGCTGGTAAAGTAACTATTAAACAGCTTGAGCTCTTAATCTCAGAGTTGGGACTTCAGAAACCCTGTTTTAAAGGTGGAGAAACAGAGGTACAGCTTAATAGATTCAATTTGCCAGGCTGTAACGAGCCCATGAGCTTCCTTGAGAGAGTCACAGATAGGGCTTACATTTAGGTTTATGCTCAGGACCTGCTACATAATAGGATGCCCAGTAGGTATTTTCATGAGTCACGACAATCTTGTGAAGGTCTGCCCATTTTATAGGTGAAACCTGAGTGGTTGTGGCCACCAAAGTCAGCACTGCAGTAACCCAGTGGGGCTCAAATGGAAGGTTCTGACTTCCAAGTTGCTGGCAGATTTTGCTTCCGGAGAGTGGGAAGTGGATGAAATGAGTGGAACGTTGGACCGTCAAATCTCACTGACACTAATACACTCCTCTGCCCTGAGAGCACTTAGTCATTTATTCCTTTCTATCATAGTGTTTTCCAGAAATACTCCTGTAGAGGAAACCAGCTTGGATACAGTCTCTATGTGTCCTAGCAATGAGGGCAGGGGAAGCTGGGCTTGCCTAGCCCAAGAATGAGAGGTTAATCTGGAGGGAGATAGAGCAGGAATGTTTCCCCACCCCAAACCCTACAGTTTGGGGTCTGCCTTTCTTCAAGCATGGTCTGGAAGGAAAGACAAAGAAGAGATGGGAGAAAGGAACTTGCATGGAATTAGTGCAGTGATTAAAAGTGAGTGACCTACAGTGGTCTGTACATCCTTAATGGCAAACCATTAAAGAGAGGCAGCTTAATTACAGTAAATGAAATTCAGTACTTCATTATGGCCCCTCAGCAGGTTCACTCACCCTTAGTCAGCATTTGGGTAAGATTAAAGTGAACCCTCATTAGCTTTGGTAGGAAACTTCAAAGTTCAGTAGTGAATCTGATTGAGCATGAGTTAACTTCAAGATGGTATGGCTTATTTCAATTTGTGTAAAAACTGTCTTTTGTTTTGAAGCCCCTGTTCTGGGCTATTTTTTTACATTATATTTTTCGGTAAATAAATACTTAGTATCTGCATGAACAGGCGCTGTTCTAGAACTGCAGATTAAGCAATGAACAAAACCAAGTCTCTGCCCTTGGGGAAGGAAGCTTACAGTCTAATATTAGTTAATTTTTATGCTTATGACCACCTTACAAAGCAGGTGGTTGTAACTTCCCCTTAGCTGTAAAATGCAGGTAAGGAACTTCGCATGAAGTCAGTGGGGCAGTCTGCAGTAAGGCCAGGATTTAAAAACTACAGGGATTCCATAGTGCCCAATAAATGTGCCTCTGAGGAATGAGCATTTGGGAACTGGGGCTTCTAGGCTGGCTGGCTGCCTTCCTGGCTTAGCGGCAGAATAGGGCTGGTTGCTGAAGCTGTCCCATATTGCTGTTGGCTTGTGCCTGGGGAGCAGGTCTCAAACCTCTAGTCTCCCTTCTTACCTCCTCGCATGGCACTCTGTTCCTAGGTTACCCGTGCAGGATGCCCTCACCTCCCTGCTGTGTGAGAAAGGCATTGCTTACAATGAGCAGCGAGTTTCTAGGGCTGGAAACTAGAGCTTTGCAGAGTGCCTGGAGGATGACCAAGGGGAAAGAGGGAGAGAAGGGCCTTCTTTGCCCAATTCAGTGGAGGCTTTAGGTCTGAGGACAAACTGTCTCCATTCAGAGAACCACTGTTTTTGAAGAATAATGTGGAGGAAAGTGCCCAAGTGATAAGAGTATGTGTAGCCTGATGAACATCACAGATTTCCAAGTGCCAATATATCTAGCGTTTAGGTCGAGAAACAGCATTACCAGCTGTTCAGGTGCCCCTTCTTTCCCAGTCGCTACCCTCCTCTCCGAGAAAACCACTATCCTGACTTCTAATACCATAGATTAGTTTGTCTGTGTTGGACTTTTACGTAAAAGAATAATACAGAACATCCTCTTGGATCTGGCTGCTTTGACTTCACGTTATGAGATTCTTCCACAACCTTGGATGTAGTTGCAGTTCATGTTCATTGTCCTGTTGTACATCATCATGTGAGTGTCCACAGTTGATGGGTATTTGAGGAGTTCCCATTTTTTGGCTGTTACTATTGATGCTGCTGTGAACATTATTGTTCCAGTCTTTTGGTGAAACTACATAAAGGATCTGTTAGGTAGACACCTGGCTGTGTAATTGCTGGGTCAACTGAGGGTTACCCGAGAATCTCAGTACTGTGGCTGTGGAGGGAGAAGTCAGCTTTTCCCTGCCTTGAAGTAGCTGAGTCTCTTCTGGAGTCTACCATTCCCCCTCCAACAGTCTCCTTTCCAGACCCATTCCTTCTGGATTCTTGATCCTCACCTGGCCCTAGGCTACGAGACAGCAAGTGTTTGTCCTGTATTTGGTCACATCGTTTATCTTGGGGGAAGTCCCTGCCTTAGTTTGCTCTTAAACTGATGCTTGTCACTTTCCCCCAAAAGAAAAAGGGAATCTTGGAAGGGTCCTGAATTTCTTAGGTGGGGTCTGCTTCCTGGGTGGAGATTCTATCCTGGCCAGTGTGGCCAGCAGGCTCCTCATGTGACCAAGGTGGCCAAGGCCAGCTCCTCCCTCATTCCAGAGGCAGTAAGGTGTGTGAGACCCAAGGCCTCGGTGAGCATCAAGTGTCTGAGTGCCTGCTGGGTGTTAGATGTTCAGCGGTGCACCAGGCCCAGAGGTCTTTAATCTCAGTGAGCGCCCTGATTATAGGAGGAAGCAGATCAGTCACCAGGCAATTTTCATAGTGAATCCTTCACTCAGCAGTTATTTTTTGAGCATGTACTAAGTGCCAGGTACTGTTTTAGGTGCTGGGGCTGCAATAGTGAAAAAAACCTGCATAAAACCGAGGCTTTATGGGACATTTCTCTGCTAGTGGTGCACAAGTTACAGGTACATACATATAGTAATAATATATATAGTATATATACATATAATATGTGTATTATATATACATGATTGAGTGGGAAGCGGGGGAGGACAAATACAGAGTCACATAGGAAGGGCTGCTGACCTGTTCTTGGGGGGACCTGAAGGGAATGACATCCAAGCAGGAGGCTGGGGAAAAGCTGTGTAA